CTTCCTAAGAATTTCTAAAAAGTCTGTCTTAACCTTGAGCCTTAAGTACCTAATCTATTTTAGGTAACGTTTTAGCAGTGAGAAGATGCTTGCTAGTAAAAAAAGAAAAAATTCTGAGTTTAACACAAGGATAACTATGGCCTATACTATGTATGTTAGGTCAAACTTGAGGACAAAAAAAAAAAAAGTCTGTACAAGTCTGCTGTTTGGGGCAAGGGAAGGTGCAATCTTGTGGTTGAGGAGCAAAAAGTAGAAGTGAAAATCTTGAAACTTTGCAAGAAGGTGCACTTACCTGCATTAGCACTATTCGTAACTGGGTTTGTCTCTCGTCTCTCTATCCAAACGCTGTCATGCTTTAAAAAATGCAAAATACTGAAAGGGAGAAGGGTAAACCTGGAGATTCATTCAACTGAATGAATACACAGGTCTGCCATTCACCTGAGCTCTTTAACTGCAGTTTATGATTAAGGTTTTTGTGAGTATTTAATTTCCTCTTTATTGCCATCGTGACTTTTATACTGTACACACCTCTATGGGCCTGACTGGGAGTCTTCTATGAAATCGGCTTCATGCATACATTGTCTTTTTTTGTTCTCCTTGAAGACACTTTAAGCAAAAATGAAGTGTGAGTTTACCAGCAATTAACACTGCTCATTATTGTCATAGATGTTACACTCTTCCTCTCAGTTAACTTTACAACTTCTCTTTTTCTAGTGAAATATCACTAGAAATGTAAATACGCATAAAGTTTACAGATTTTGAAATTTCGTATCTTTAAAACAGTTTTTTTAGTGTTTGGTGTTGGTGTTTAGTGTTTAGTGTTGGTGTTTAGTGGTTTTTGGTGGGAAATATGTGTTTTCTATGAAATAGTTTAATTTCCTCTGCAGTCTTACATCTCATGGTGTTCTGCTTTGCCATAACAATGCGTGTGGTGTGGGACTTTCTTTACTTACTGCAGAATTTAGGATGTGGGATTCTAGTTAGTGTTTGCTCTGATCAGACTGTTTCATCATAGGGTCCTGGGGTTTTTAACAACAGATAGATGAAATGACCATTTGATTGTGGGTTGAGGTGTTTTGTTTGGTTTTGACAGGTAGAGGAAGAGAGGAAATTAATTCTGATTTTGACTGGGGTCTCACAGGATGTTTGTGGTTTGGGTTTTGGGGTTTTTTGGGTTTTGGTTGTTTTGTTTGTTTCAGAAGAAGTGTAGTTAAAACTAGCTGGTTTTTTTCTTTCACTCTCCACCTGCCCCTGTATCTTAACACCTTAATCCTTATGTTTAAACTGTTCGAGAAAGCATAAAAATATATCTACAGACTGTGGATATTTAACTGGAGTATGATAAAATTTCTGGTCATGCAGATTCATGTAACTATGCAATCCTGTTCTTTTATGCTTTATTACTAAACTACTGTGCAGGGGGATGGGAAATGGACAACTTGAAACCTTAAAGTTGAATGTCAGTATCTTTGTGGACTGTAGTGCTTTATCCAACCTTTTCATCCTTAGAAACATTCAAATTCTAATGTTGAAACCTAATGTTTAAAATCAGTCCTTTCTGGAAACAAAGCAAAAGTTTAGCCAGATTTATGAAGTATAGTTCTTTTCTCGTTGACAAATACTAATGACTTAAACTAACAAGATTCACTTGCTTTTGATGCCTTCATGGTGGCCATTCTTCTTAAGTATGTAGAATGAGTGTGTTCGTCAGAAAGTGGCACCCCCCCAAATCCACTTTTTTTTTTTTTTTAACATGATGCAGAAATCCTTTCCTAATTGCATCTCCTCTGTGAGAAACCATAGGCTTTCAGACTGCATGGTTTACTCTGTAACTCAGAGGTTTCAAATAAGAATTACCGATGGTTTTGTTACAAGAACCATAAGTCAATGTATATTAATCTTGTTGCGGCTGTTGCAGCTCAAGAGGTAATTTGCCATGCCATGTTTCTTCTCAGCTGGGTTGGAGCAGTCAGTTTTAATTGCAGTGCTGAAAAACTTTCATGCAAAGATCTAGTACTTGGCAACATTTGGTCCTACTGTTAATTCCAAACTCATTTTAAGGTCTAAGTGTGGGTAAATTTCTTTCCACATGTATCAGTGTGCCAGTCAGTTCCTGGGGAAGGTGGGAAGTGGGTTCAAATGGTCATTAACTCCATAGAATGAAGCTGCATCTTAACGTCACTAACTGCAACACTTTCTGAGAAGTTCTTCTGTAAACAAATTAGAAGATCGCTGAAGTACTTGATTACTAGAGTTGTGTAGAAGAGCATTACAGTGACTTTTTTTTTTTAATTGCAGTTAGCAATTTTTCTGAATTCTCATTACATCACCTTTTTTTGTAAGTGTGAAAATACATCTGATAGAAGTCTGTGCCTTTATTTGGGGAGGTATTTAAGCTCATCTATAATTATAAGTGTGTGAATAGTCCATTAAATTCAGTTAGATTCTATTGTGTGCTTCACTGGCTGTCAAACTAGTAATATGTCTATGGGAGATAATAAATTTACTTCTCATCATGTTTGTTATGAAGATAGAAGTTCTATAACATTAGCCTCAAGTCTCCTCTAAACCTCTCCCTGGTACTTGATTCCTTGAGAGTCTGAACTTTTTTTGGCTTAATCTGTTCTTTCATATTGATCAAACTTCTTTTTCTGGGAAAGTTGAGGAAAAACTCGATTTATGCTTACTTCAAATATATCAGCAACAGAGTTATAACAGTATTTTGAGTGAAGCAGCATTATCTTTCCATACTTGGCAGACTAACATGCTTTTTATTGTAACCGCTGAAGGGTACTATTCTGGAACTCATTGCCTTTGAAAAGAATGCAGAGTAATACTAAACTGAAATCTTGGAGTATTTTGCTATCATAAAGAGCGTGGTTAAATATAGAAAGAATACAAAATGGGAAGAGAAGGTAGTATCTTCTCATAAATATGACCTTATCAATAACCTTGTTGAAATAATTTGGCTGGCATTTTTGTCAATGCTTAAAAAAAAGTGAATGCATGGAAAATGTTCAGGAAAGACTTGATTCTGTCTTATAGTCAGTCTCCTTAGTCATGTCCAGAAGAAGGTTAAGAAGCAACTTAAATCATTTGATATTTGCCTACATGAGAGAGATTTCTGATGGACAGTTCTTTAATGTGGAAAGTTTTAATGAGCTCAGCTGTTTGAGATGGAGATTGGACAAATTCAGATAGGGAATAAGTCACAATTGTTAAATAGGGCAATTAATCATTGAAACAATTTACCTAGGATGTGTAGAATTCTGTCTCAGTATAAAGGCTGCAGAAGAGATTCTCATAGATAAACTAGAAATTACATGCTTGATGCAAAAATTGATTGATACGATTTTACCTAGCTCTTTATGCAAGAGACTGAAGTAGATGAATATGATGGTCTCCACAAGAGCTCACATCATTTGAAATTTATCTTTATGAGAATAAAGCACATGATTAGATGGTAGCAATTAATTTTCTGCAAGTAATGTGAATTTGCTGGGCAATTTTCATATTGTGATCAGCACTACTTTGCAAGGTGACTAGTAATTTTAAACTTTGGGGACAGGCTTCATTAGAGAATGCTAGGATCTTAGACTCCTTAATTCTGAGAGATCATGGGCTTGCTAGGCGATCTTAAACAGCAAAAATGATTTCCCAGGTTGAGCACCCAAAGTTACTATTGTTATCCAGAAATGTGCTGGTTGGTTTGGGAGTTTTTGGTTGTTTGGTTTTTTTTTTGGTTTTTTTTTTTTTTTTTTACAAATGATCTCAGTGCAGACCTTGCTGCACAGCCAGCACTTCAGAAAACTTAGAAAAAGATGTTTTGGTATCTGTAGCTCTTCCTAAGATCCATGCATCAGATTATTTGAACTCATCCAAAACACATATCATGCCTCTGCCGCTCAAATGTTCTGACGGATAAGGCATGTCTGCAAAACTTACTTGGCTCCTGCAAAGCAAAATTTTTTATTTATTTATTTATTTTCTCCCTAAAGATGTGTTTAAGCTCTCTTCTATGTACAGAGATTTTTTGAGTACTACCAAAGGTGTGTCTGTGGTAATGGTGCTTATGAGATGTTTCCGTCTGGAACAGTTGCCATGGAATTAGTTACAATTCATAGGACGCCATCAACTGCACTTTTGTAAATTTGCATGGATCAAGGCTTTGCCAAGGCTTAAATAGGAAAGTATAGATCTTGTTGCAGTGTTGTTAATTATAGTGCCTTCAGCTTTTAATTCATATACACATTGTAAGTATTAAGCAAATAGCATTATTGGGACCATAGTTAAAATATTTTGCTACCAAAGGGAAAAATAATGTAAGAGAGGTAGCAGTGTCTCCAACCAACTGTCAATGGATGGTGGATATAGTCATAGTTAAAGACATTCTCACCTGCCATGTAAAGATCAGTTTTGGCAGAGTTGATTTGCTTGCCCCTTCCCCTATTCATTACTTAATTGCCTTATAGTTTCTGAAAGACTATTTTATCTGAAAATAAACTTAGAATAAGGAAGTGTTAGATACTTTCAGAAATGGTTAGGATCATCCAGACTCTTTGAACTTTGCATTTAATATGCAAAATTGAGTGGGTTTTTTATGGGGCATGTCATTCTATGATTCTATAATTCTTGTTCAGTGAATGTTGAGTATTTTCTCTTTTTCTCATAGCATTTTAGTTCTGTTTAAACTTTTATGTCCAAGTACTTCTCTTGACTTTCTGGCCTCAAGCTTTGAAATTACTAGTTGGGGAGATGAGGTGTAGGGGCTGTTTCTAGGTTATTTAAATACTCATTTTTATGAAATAGTTAGAAATAAACATTTTATGTATTGCTGTAAATATCCAATTATCTGCTGTAACTTAGAAGTAAAGGAGAGATTCTCTACTAAACTTCCATAACTGAAATCTTTATGTCTGCTACTGTGTAGGTCTGAAAGAATAGTGTATGTTTTAACTGTTGAATTGAATTTATTTTTGTCATCTCCACCTCCATTCCAGGTGCAAGACAAGTTTCGTTTGGACCTGTCTGATGAAGAAGCCGTCCATTATATGCAGAGTCTAATTGATGAAAGTGTCCATGCCCTCTTTGCAGCTGTGGTGGAGCAGATACACAAGTTTGCACAGGTGAGATATCTTCTCAGTTGGTGGTCTCAGTGAAAGCTGAGTAAGATGAGAGGTTGCGAGTGATAAGTTCAAGACTTAGCTTCATTGTTTATGATGGTTTAGGTCATTGTCCAACAAGTTAAAAGTGTGTTCTTGCTGCCAGGACTGAAGAGAAAGCTCTTAGTGGTCCTAAAAAAATCTTTAAACCACTTTATCAAACATGTTAAATGGGATGTAGCTGGTTGTATTACCAAGGGTAAGAACTGCAAATTGGAAAGCCGGAGTTCGGAGGAAGGATCCAGAATTATTATTGTCACCACTATTTTTATTAGTAAAATTTATCCTTGCTCTAGTATGGAGAATGAAATGTTTAACTACACATATGCAGCAACCCACAGTAGGACAATAAAATCTTTAGTTCTCATGTTGAATAAAACTATATTTACAAAAGCATTTCTTTGAATTTACAATATTTTTTCCCTTAAAGCCATCTGACATACTTAATTTGTGTTTATCAAGGATTTAAGATACTACGCTGTTTGCCTTAAGTATTAGACTCATGACAAGAAAGGGAATTGAGAGGAGAAATGAAAACGATCTGAAAAGCCAGTCATTATCCCAGGTTGTTTTTATTGATTCTTTCTTCAAATGACTGATCAAATTCTGCTAGAAACTGAGGAGAACTATTTTTATGGCTATCCATTTTGCTACAGATTCTCCCAACTAATCTGTTGTTTCCTGCGAACTTAATTTTTATTTTGAAGAATTGTACTATAGTGCAGTGTAAAAAGCAAAAAATGTCATTTCCATCTGTGTGTATATTTAATAAAGGTGATCTCTTATGTGATGTGAGAAAAGGAGTGTAATTATATAAAAATGTTGCAAAATTTCTTGTCATTCATTATGGATTACTTTGATCATAGGATGGAGGACGGTAATTTCATAAAACAAAGTGAAAAATGCCTACCATCTGCATCTGGGTTCAAAAAAAAAAGCCATTACAAAGATTCAAGATTAAAATTTTAAGTGCCTCCAATATGTGTGTAGAGCTTTTTTTTTAATCACATAGTGACAGTCATTTTTTTTAAGACCTATCTTTTTACTTCATTAGTTTTAGGTGGCTGCCAGACTCTCCTAGATAATTGTTACTGCATTTGTGAAGTTGTATTAGTAAGTCAGAGTTTACAGGTTTGATTTAGGTGACCTTTTCTTTTTTCCATTCAGACTTGTTCTTGCTTGACCTTTCTTCAGCACTTGCAATCACAGGACAGATTAGTTCAGGATATTTAAAAGTTCCCAGGAATTTGAACCCCAGGCTTTTTGCTCCCAGGAATGGCGTTCTAAGTGACAGGCTGATATGTACAGCAGCGGGCACTGATTGAATCTTGCGTTAATATTTTGAGAGTTAAAAAGCAAGCCCACAGTGTGTATTGCACTTTGGATACCAGATAAGCAGATGTGACAGCCACTAATGCAGGCCTGATCCAGTCATCTCATTTAGGGGTTTTTACCTCTCCAGCTGACAAACAGTGGGTTCCAGCGCGGAGACGTTTGGGCTGTTTTTCTTGAGGCCCTGAACTTTCCTCATGTGCTGCTGCAGTTTGCTACCTATGTACTCTTAGCTTGTCTTTCTGCTTTTGGGATCCGGTGCCTAAAATGTAAACAACAGTGTGTTACTTTTTAAGTGCTTAATGCATCTCTTGGCTCCATGTAATATCAGATTCTTCTGCTAGTTCTGGAGTTCAGATTATTGCCTTCATTAGTGTGCTGTAAACAATTACACTTGCAGGCTTCCCCCTGCAAGAGTACTGTATGCTTATAGACGTGAGGACAGTACAAAAAGACATTAATTAGCAGTTGACAAGTCTTAAGAATCTAAACTCTATTTATACTTTTAAAAAAACTTACAAAAATCTATCAAAATAAAATGTAATTAATATCTATTCTTTTTATATTGCAAGTGAGATAGGGATGCTTTTTAGTGATACTTAGCACTTCGTTAGTCAAAATCATTATCTTTCCTTTTTTGTCTGAGGCGATCTTAAGAATTTGGTGCTGGAGCCTTCAGTCTGTAAATCGCTGAACAAGTGAACAATTAATGCGTCATTGAATTTGCTGTAAAGGGGTCATCTTAAACCGTGACCAGTTGAAGCTTTCAATTTGTTCATGTATAACACTACACTGAATTGCCAATGGCCTTGCTTTTAATAGTAATAGCAGGTATCTGAAGAAAAAAAACCGCAAAAAAATACCACTACACAGGTATTACAACACATGCTTAAACAGCAGATTTTGGCCTAAGGCCACACAATTTTTCATTTGAAGTGCCCTTCTACATGTTTTTGTTGTTTATCATTAGATATTTATTCCATTACTGCCTCCAGAATAGGCCTACAAGGAATCTGTGCTGTCTACTGCAGCAGTTAAGAGCTTTTTAATAAGGTTGGTTATTATAGTAGCTGTTGTGTATCAGCGTTCTACATGTCACTCCGTAGTAAGTATAACTCATAGATAAAGCAATCTAGATATTTTGGCATCAGTTTGGTATTATTCTTTTGTAACAATATTGTAAATTGAGTTCAGTTCAGAGCTGTGTTACAAAGCTTTTATTTTAGTTTCTAACGCATCTCTAATCTATTATGTTATCAGCTCTTTTACAGACCTTTTTATGCAGTACTTGTCTCCTTCTTCATGGTTATAAAAAACCTGCTGTCTCAAAAGTAAATAAATTTAACATTTAGAATAAGTTAATAGTGTTGTACAATAGTGCTTAAGAGGAGAAAAAGTGCATACTAATATGAGTTGATACTAATGAAGACTAGATAGCCATTTCTCCCTGGACAGTCATTTTCATTTTAGCAACATTATTTATTTCTGTGGAGGAAGGAAATAATCTGCAGTTGCAGTGACTAATTTCACATTTGATTTCCCTTGTAAATTTACAAGTCAGTTGCATTCTGGACTCATGTTAAGTGGTGATTAAAAAAGTGAAAGCTTGAAAGATAAGGGTTATCCCACCTAAAATGTAACTGTAGAATTTGGGATTGTACTAATGGTTGGCTGCACTTTGTTTAGGAGCAAATTCAGTTTAAGCTGTAAATGCTACGTGGCTTTCGAGTATCTCCAAGCTATGGTCCCATTGCTGTTCCATCCCAGAATGCAGCTGTAGTTCCTTTCCCTCAGGACAGGGCTTCTCTTTTCCTCCTGTCAGATGCCAAAATAAAGTAGAGAAAACCTGCTAGTTTGGATTGTGCAGATTGGATGAAACCATTTGTCAAGGAGCAGAGAGAGTTGGTTTCCAAGCGGTTTATTTTCCTGAAGGGTTGTGAAAATTGCTTGCCTTTAGGCATTTTACCATGTTTTTAAACCCAGAGTTCAATTTACGTGTAACTTCTCTCCTCTGAGAGTAAACCAGGTTGAATAAATGCTGTGCTATGTGTTTTTTTTTGTTTTAGTACTGGAGAAAATAAGCCTTTTGCCTACCTGTGGTGGAAACAAGTAAATGCTCAAGAAAGAGACTTTCTCAAGCCCTTCTGGAGTTCATCAAACAGTTTTGGAAGGCAAAAGCTTCAGGTTTGGTAGCATGGAGAATTGAGACCTCAGGAGGTAGAGAAGCTTTTTGAGTCTCCGTTCTTTGAAGGTTTAAGAAAACCCCCCCCTTTTTTTTTTTTTAAAAAAAAAAGGTTATTTATACCGTCCTTCAGACTCAGATACTATGGCTTTTCTTTCTAGTCAAAACATTTGACCCACAAAGGTTGAAGTAAGCAACTTCCTCCCAAGCCAAAGATAACTGGAAGAGGCTGGATTTGATGGTAAATTCTTGAACCTGTTAATATATTTTTCTTATTTAAAAATAGAAAGCATTGCTGTACTGAACATGAGTATGTACAAAGGTACAGCAGTGAGGCTACAGTCCCTCGGTGCAGAAAAAACACAAAACTATGGCAATCTCCTCTCCTCCATTCCCACCAACTTTGTTCCTTGAGTAAGTTTAAAATACAGTTTGTATGATCCTTTTTTCCCACCTTGGGCAATGTTATCATTTAGAAAGGACAATCATTTCTCCCCTGCTTACAAAAATGTTTTTAAGTGCTGATAAGTTAGCCAGCTGTAGGCAGCCAATTAAATCATCACTAACAGGCTCAGCAACCGGAATACACAGTGAGTGGTTCAGTATTTCACACTTTAACTCTGAATGTTTTCTGTACAGTGATTATATATTCTTGACTCTAATAAACTCTTTGTTGTTGCAGTCTTGAGGTGTTCTGTTTTTTCTTTTTAATCTTACCTGCTGAGACATGGCATACTAGAGGATTACGTTCATAGCTCTTGGCTCTTTGCAAGGATTTTCACTCCTCACTTCACTTGACACGGGAATAAGGCTACTCATGAAATGACTTTTGTACCACATGTTGAGTTCGTAATGAATCTGTTTTGAATGATCAACAATGTAATTAGCCCTTTATAAATGTGTGGATCTCTTCAAAGGGTGCTCTTATACTCCTGTATTTTTTTTAATAATAAATTAAGTCAGGAAGAAATCCCCCCCAGTTATAAAGATAAGAAGGACTGATTTTAATCTGAATGGCTGATATTTGTGAGTCAGTCTTGCTTTGTGCTTCTTTTGCTAGCAAACACCAGAAGAGTTTTGATGGAGGAAAATCCACTAGGGCTGTCATGGGCCCTTAGCTATTTCAGCATATTACCCAAATCGGCTAGTTAAGAACAACATTGGTTCAGCCCTCTTTTCCCCATCTATGCAAACTAGAGGAACTGTATTGCACCAGCTGCTTAGTGCTTGTGTTAGCTGGCTAAACACAGTGCCAGAGAAGAGCCACGGTAGTACCTCTTATATTCAGCTGACCCTTCTTTAGAGAAGTAGTCGTTATCATTTTCTGATGCGGTGCTTTTGGTCTTGCTTCATCTGGCAGAAATACTTCTCGATATTTCTCTGCTGTCTCCATTTCCCACGAACTCATTCTCTATACAGTAATCTGTGGTATCTTCTAAGGGTATTTCTG